ACCCCTCTAAAACCAGCCTGGTAGACCAGCTAAAACCAGCCAACCAGCCTAGGCTGGTTTAAGCTGGATTTTACAGCAGGGCTGGCCACTCTCATCTACAATCTTCTTTCTTTATCTGCAATCTTGCTGTATCAGCCACGCTGATACCCAGGGTTGTCCAAACTCTGTCCTGGAGAGCAGGTGTCCTGCATAGTTTAGCTTCAACTTCCTTCAACACACCTCCTTTAAAGTTTCTAGTATATCTAGAAAGAGCTTGATTAGCTTTTTCAGGTGTGTTTAATTGGGGTTGGAGCAAAAATATGCAGGACACCGGCCCTCCAGGACTGAGTTTGGACACCCCTGCTGTAAACTGAAGACTATGAGTGTTCGTGCTTTTTCGTACAGGGCGCCTAAGTTATGGGATGGCCTATACCCACCAGCATCAGGAATGCTGTTTCTCTGGATTGTTTTAAGAAACTTCTTAAGACTCACCTTTTTACTGTTGCTTTTACCTTAGATCGATTATTTTAGTTAATTTTATCATCCAATTGTATTGAATCGTTCATCTTTTATTGTGGTCTTTTTATTTTATTTTATTTTTTGACTGTTTTTATTGTTCTGCTTTGTTTGCCTTGTGTGCCTGTTGCACTTTGGAACAGAGAAAAGGCCGTTATAAATAAAATGTATTATTATTATTCATTTTTCTTCAGCTTAGTCCTTTATTTATGAGGGGTCGCCACAGCGGAATGAACCGCCAACTATTCCAGCATATGTTTTACGCAGCGGATGCCCTTCCAGCTGCAACCCAGTACTGGGAAACACCCATACACACTGATACACATAACACTCATACACAATGGCTGATTTAGTTTACCTATAGCGCATGTGTTTGGAGTATTTTTTATTGTAATCATATTTATAGTTTGGCAGGTCACACTTCATAAATGAATACGCTGTTTTTAAAATGTGGAATCAGCCTGGAAAATTGCAATCGGTACATCTCAATTCTTTAAATATACATTTACGGCCTGAAAAGGCAAAACAATGGCATTATTTTCTTTATTATGTGCGTTTTGCGGTGAAAATATGCTAGAAAAATCTTGCAAAACTATTTTCTTTTTTGATCTCAGAAACTATTGGACTAGGAAAATCCTGGAGGGCCTGAATTATCCCTCACTAAAGTATAAAGTCAGGAGAAATGAAAGCGTTTCAGTTTAATGCTAGACAAAACAGAATCAGTTTGTTTCCAGCAGAGGGCAGCAAAGAACAATGATTTCACCACTTTATATTAATCAGCGTCATGGTGGCGCAGTGGGCAGCCCGATCGCCTCACAGCAAGAAGGTTGCTGGTTCGAGCCTCGGCAGGGCCAGTTGGCATTTCTGTGTGGAGTTTGCATGTTCTCCCCGTGTTGGCATGGGTTTCCTCTGGGTGCTCCGGTACAGTCCAAACACATGCGCTATTGGTGTATTAGGTAAGGTACACTATTGTCCATAGTGTATGAGAGTGAATGAGTGTGTATGGATGTTTCCAAGTGATGGGTTGCAGCCGGAAGAGCATCTACTGTATAAAACATATACCGGATAAGTTGGCGGTTCATTCCGCTGTGGCGACCCCTGATTAATAAAGGGGATAAAGGGGAAGGAAAATGAATGAATGATACTCCTATAAAAGTGCTGAATGTGAAAGGTGGTTGAATCATGAAGCCATTGAGCCTTTTATATATGTATATATGTATGTATATTATTTATTATAAAACTTTAAAACTTTAAAACTTTTTTATTATAAAAAAAACTTACATAAAAAAGCATTTAAAAAATAATTACCTGACTAAAATATTAAAGAAGTTAATTCAATAAGAAAACAGAACCACAGAAGAGAACATCATTAAACAGTGCACCACATCCATCTACTGTAATAATAATAATAACAACATACAAAAACATAGCTGACTTAAAACAACAGTTGTTTTGAACAAGTATGGATGGTTAGCTGAAATAATTACAATTACTACTAATTATTTTTATAAGAATATTAACAGATGATTGTCAGAGAGAAAGAGGATTTAATTAAAATGTGACAAGTCGATTGTTTTCATTTTAGATTGGGCTACCAGTGGTTTAACTTCAAACATCCAGTTGTTCAGGATCCTGGAGTTCAGGTTCTGCTTAAAAAGCTGAAAAATGAAATAAAAATTAACAAAACCACAGGCAGGAATACTAATAAAATACAGAATAATTGTTATATTTAGTGTTCCTGCATGTTATATTGCTACAACAAATAATAAATTGTAACATGTATATACAGTTAAAGTCCAAATTATTCGCCCTTCTGTGAATTTTATTTTTTCCAATATTTCCAAAATGATCTTTAAGAGGTTGAGGAAATTTTCACAGTGTGTCTGATAATATTTTTTCTTCTGGAGAAAGTCTTATTTGTTTTATTTCGGCTAGAATAAAAGCAGGTTTTAATTTTTTTAACCATTTTATTAGTCAATATTATTAGCCCCCTTAAGCAATAATTACTTTCAAATGTCTATAGAACAAACCACTGTTACACATTAACTTGCCTATTTACTATATATTTAGCTATTTACAGTAAAATATTATTTACTGTCATCATGGCAAAGATAAAAGAAATTAGTTATTAGAAATGAGTTATTAGAAATCTTCTTTCCATTAAACAAAAATTGAAAAATAAAATATCCAGGGGGGTTTATAAGTCTGACTTCAACTGTATATTTTATGGGATGCTCCGATCAGGATTTTTGCAGCCGATACAGAGTACTGATTCCTTGTCATAGTAATCGACGCATACTGAGTACAGATTCTGATGCTTCAAGCTTTATAATGCAGCACATTTTCCCTCTAAGTATAATCAGTGGCGGCTCTAGTTTAAATGGTACCCTGGGCGAAACCACCTCAAACATAGCCCCTGTCCCATCTTCCAAGAAATAAAGACACTATATGGAT